CCCGGCATTTTTTTTCCCCCGGGGAAAAAAACCCTTTATTACTAAACATGTCTATTAAAAAGTTCCAGGAGTTATTTCAACCTGCCGTCCTTTGTAACTTACTATAAAATATTTTAATGTTGTTTATAAACAGCAATTTCGGGAGAGTGTGACGTTAGGCCACTTAACGGCCGTAGAAAGTCGAGATGGGCTCTTGGGTGCAAAAACGAGTTCAATTTAAGATGCCTTTAGAATTTTTTGGATAGGAGTTATCAATAGCGCTTAAGTGCTTTCAAGGTAAAGCGGTCGATATTGGACGCTAATCATAAATATAAACGATATGAAATACTTAAGAATTTTATGAACGTGTAGGGAGGGTAATCCACGTTTGCAGCTACAGTGGTGTTAATCTTAAGGAATATGTGCGTTCATGGTTATGAAAGGTTTTATAGTCTTGTATAAAGTGTACGTGTGAATGTTTTTTTATTGAATATCAGTGGTGTATAGTCAGAAGGTTAACGAAATAAGACTAAAACCTACACTAAAGTTTTTTTTATAGTTCATTTCTTACGATTGATTTCAGTTTATCTGAAAAGCATAGAGTGAAAGACAAAGTCAGAAAGACAAAGAAAGTGGAACCTTTTTAGCAATTTTACCAGGCTAGGGCATGAACTTTGTTCTGTATTGTATCTGATTATTATGAAGATGTAATATGATTCACCTGTTCTATTTATTTTTTTGTGAAAGATTTTGGTTAAAATTTGCATGCGTGATGCCCTGTATATTTATTTACTGTTGTAAAGAAAAATTAAATTAAACATTTAAAAAAACCCTCGACACACATCTTGGATTTGAAATTTTTTGTACTGTATATTATTCTACTAGTCAAGTTCTTTCATTTGATACCCAAATTGAGGGCGTTTAGTAGAAAATTATGTAATCCGCCATTTTGTGGCGGCGGCATTCTTGGACCGATTTTCATCAAATATAACTTAAAACACTCCCGACTAATTCACCTTTAAACAAAAAACAAAATCAAAATCGGTTCATCCGTTCGGGAGCTACGATGCCAGAGACATACATACACACACAGACAGACACGTTAAACTTATAACTCCCGCGTCGGGGGTTAAAAAATGATTGTAATCATGTAGAAGTATTTACTAATAATGTTATCATACATTAATGTAACCTTTTATATGAACGCTTATAGCAAAATTTAATATGTGATGTAATCAGTTTCTTGCGAACTGGATGTCAAACATCCTTCACACCAACTCAATTTTTAGTTGCGTCTCTAGGCGTGTAAAAATTTTGAAAGTTTGACAAGTAAAATGGTATAACATTTAATTATTTTCACAAATAGTACTAAATTTTCAAACAATGTTATGGAAATCAGATTTATGCGAATAATTATAAGTGTATGGTAATATAATTCATATACATTAACCATTATTGATCGAGTATGTATAAATATATCGCTATGGCTGTGTGAGAGCGTTACTTTAATTTTAAAAATCCTATTACTTTACAATTTTAGTTAAATAGTTTTCGATTTAAAGTGATATTTTAACTTAGATGTTTCACAAATAATAAAACTTTACTTCATATTAATTACATGTTAATTATCAACTTGTGTCTTCTTCATCATTATGGAGCGTAAAGGTAAGAAGAACCATCTTATATGGGGGGAAGTTGAAAAAGTGTCCGGCTGCATACTGAAAATAGAGGTTGCGTGCGTACGAAAAACTACGATATGAACATAGCTGTTGTAGACGAAGTGAAGGGTGTTGAGTTAAAATATTAAAATACTTTTACTGTCTGAAAGTTATTTATTGTCTGTGAAACTCATTGATAATTTTTGCAGTCTAGTACTATCCCAGGCTATACAGGGTTTTCATACACAGAGATGGTTCTCCTTGCCTCTCCCTCCATATTCATCATTAACAAAACATGTCACAGGAAATACTTTTTATTAGAATCTTTACGCATTGGTGTGAGTATCATACGGCCAATAGATATGACAGATTAAATAGATAGACAGAATTAACAGCGACAGTTTCTGATTGAAATGTCATCCGACTTGAAGTTTGGGATTTTCTTGTAATCACAGGTTATATATTTTTTTAGCAACAATTCTTAAATTATTGCATAGTTTTATGCGCTGATTTACTTTACAGAATGAAATAAATAGCAACTCAATTAGAATATAAAAAAATAATCAATCCATAATAAACAACTACAATGTAGTTGCTAAGAAGAAATCCATTAGGTAAAGAAAATATAGCAAAGCAAATCGCCTAAACGCACGGCAATTCACCCTAGTTGACACAAGATCCCCATAGTATACCGCCCCAGATGTCACCTGCAAGCTATTCAGCATTATATTACGTTCATTATACCAAAGACTACATTCCCAGAGGATATGATGAGCAGACTGTTCATAGTGAGAGTTAGGTGTTGAGCATTAACACAATAGTGACTCGACTAATTCAAATGAATAAAGCTTGCTCTTAAAGTTACCATGACCCGTAAGAAATTGAGCGACACAGTGATCCACCTCAAGCCATGTCCTGGATAACCGTTCGCGAACAGATGGAAAGAATTGGTAAAGATGGCGCCCCTTGGATGATTCATTCCAGCGTTGTTGCTATTCGTCTATGAGGTCATTATAGACATCGGACTGCTGTTGAAGCAATCTTGTAATTTTACCGCGATCCCGCGCGCCCAAAAAATCGCATTCCATGTTTTGTTGTCTTGAATAGTACATGGCTGCAAGTCTCTGCACCTCGAGATCGACCGGAAACACACCCGCCAACACTTCCCGCTCTGTGCTTCCCGTCCTATATACCTTGCACAGGAATATCAGTGCAAGTCGTTGGTCTTGTAACAGTTTGCGACGGACAGCGCCTACGGTCGCCCTATCGGCCCATACAGGTGCACCATAGCACATAGAACCTAAATAAGTAGCTCCGTATATGATCTTTAATGTATTAAATGATAGACCCCATGTCGCAGTTGATATCGTTGTCAATGCACAGAAACTCTTTTTAGACTTTTCATTAACTATTTTAATATGTTCGATAAATGAAAAGTTTCGTTCTAAATCTAATCCTAGGTAACACACTGAGGCTTTATTTTTTCCAGTAACATTGTCAAATCTAATGCTTGGCGGTGATTTGAGGTTACCTTTTAAAAGTAGCTGGAAGGTTTTGTTGGGTGCAAAAGTTAAGCGATTACGTTCACCCCATTGAGATATCAAGTTCAAACATCTATTGGCTAATCTCTCAAGCCCCGACCTAGTATCAGATTCCACCAGTAATGAGCCGTCATCAGCATACGCGTTCAGAGTACATCCAGATGGTATCGGTATCGCAAGCCGATATTCCACAAGTATGGACCTAGCACCGATCCCTGAGGACATCCCATTGTAAGCGCCTTCGACACAGAATGATGACCAAGTCTTAGTTTAGTAGTACCTTGTGAAAAGTACGAAGATATAAGGGAATAAATATTTTTAAAGCACCCCCGTGGTTTTATATATATTAATGGTCGCACAATCACATCGCAAAGTATATGTTATACCTATGCTCTGTATATGAAAATCTTAAGTGGACTGGAGTAAATATATAACTTATGTATTTATATCTATAACATACAGCAAGTATCAGAGGAGCAATTCCATTTGTAAATGTACGAGTACATTAGGGAGGAACGTTCAATTCGTTATGAGTAAGTTGATTTTAATAACTAACATAACTTTATACCAACAAATTTCTCACGTTTGAGGGTATGTTTAAATAATTATAAATTTGTAATTTCAAACTTCGTAACGAAAGAGTAATACCTAAACAAATACTTTATATTTGTATACGTATGTCGGCTAAAATATATTGTTTTCCTATATGCCTAACTTCCTATCTAAATAACTACAGTAAACCCTACTCGTTACATTAAAAAAAGTAAAGAACGAGAAGAAAGAAAGAAAGTGAAGAAGTGCAGAAATTTAATGAAGATTGTAGTTTTATCGATACATATAGAATTACTTGCCCTGACTGACTTACTGACTGGTTGATCAACAACAACGCTTGGGCTAAAAACTTAAATGCTTTTTATGTTGTAAGCACCTACTAAGAAAGGATTTTTGGCAATCTTACCCGATAAGGGATGAACGGTTTCATGGCATTTCATCATTTTCAAAGTTAGAAATACGAAATCAGAAATAGAAGAAGAGAGAGAGAAGGCAATACCTAGTTATTCATACGACTGCCAGTACTTTTTGATTTAATCACCAACTAATTATTAGTCCATAAATCCGTCTCAAAGCTATTACTCATCCGAATTTAATTTTAAATAGAACATTACAAAGAATATTACTGTTAGAAACTTTTAATGGACATCGAACAGCCAAAGGCGAGACATAATTCACGTTACTCTTTTCCAGCAAATTTCCTAAACCACAGGGACGTGGTTTCTGAAATGCTTCACTGTGACGTTTTATAAATGGTTTCACATTTGTTTGACTGCTATTATATAGGTTCAATGTTGCTACTCAGACTAAGCTATAATAAACATTGGTAGTTGAGGTGCTACAAAGTAAATCAAATAACTTACCGTTCGATTCTGAAGATTTTTGACCCTGCAGAGCAGTCTAACTGGATGTCCAACCAAGCCTGTAATATTCCTCGGAGTGCTCGGGTCAAAATAAGGTGCATCAGGGGATCCCTGCCATTCTTGAAGAAATTCAGCTCTGAAGTGACGTGAAGAAATATCCACTGTTGTAGGATCTTGACTCGATTCCGTGCCCGAATCAGCTGTGCAAAAGACAAAGTATGATTAAATGTTATGATTGACTCTATAATATTCAAAGAGATCGTTAATTTTATCATTCTGTTGCTACAATTTACCTTAAAGACACAATGATAGCACTATACTTAATTAAATTTAAAGCAGAGAATTCACTAGATGTGGCTCTCGGACTTTGTGATTTTCATCATCATCATCAACAGCCTTTAACATTCTACTGCTAGACATAGGCTTCTTCTTAGGAAGGAGGTTTTGGCCTACTATACCACGTTGGCCAGAACGCGTTGGTATAGGGTGCCAAGTTTTCTTTATTTCTACAGCGCTGGCTTCCTGCGTAGTTTGTCCCCTTTGTTTTGTTTTTGTCTGTGCGTACACTTTATAGCTTAACTTTTTATGTCATAATATTATTTTGCATAACAACGCATAGCATAAACTTCATTTTGCAAACACTCATTTTTTAAATATGCAAAACTCATAATTTTGTAAGTCATAATCATGTTTAGGCATAAACTTCATATCCATAATAATAAAAAAGTAGAACCAGCATATCACCGAAAGGTTATGGTCAAAATCGTCTTTGAGCATAAATTTCATATCGATAGTCATTAAAAGGCAGAACTATCATATCTAGCGAAGTTTAAAGTGAGGATCACCCTTTGGCATACATTTCATATTTGGCTTGCTGGCCAGCCTCAGCTGCGATGGCGAGCGTTGAAACCAACTTTCCCTCAGCTGATAGGCCGCCTCACCCCTTCGCGCCAACGCGGGCTTAAATTACACTCAAGGGATAGGGCAGACAACACTACGTGGAGTCGGTTTTGCAGCGATTCGTTTCTATCACAATCTTTTGTACCAAGACCAATGCTATACTTTTTAAGATAATATTTTAAGTGTTATAATGCTATTTTATCTCAATATGCCTAATCAAATTATTTCAAATGAAATTGTACCAAATAGTTTTGTCATACGAGATTATTCGGAATTTTAATTCTGCCAAAGGTAATTATGCTAAATAAAATTATGCCATCTTAAAAGTATGCCATTGTCAATTCGGACATATAAACATTTGGCCAAACAATAATTATACTAAATAATTTTTAAGCCTTAAAAATATTCGCGTTAAGAAGTTTCTGCCTAGTGTGTTATGCGAAATAAATTTCCTAGCATCAAGATTCTGCCCGATAGAGGGAACCCTTGCCCCCCTAGTCGGCTCTTACGACGCTTATGTAATCAATAGGGTAGGTGACATTCCATATTCTTAATCCGTTACCACACGTCTGTAACTTTCTCGTTCAATATTTCTATTATGCGATTTTTCTAAAATGATTCTTTAGAAGACTATCTACAGATATTTTAAATTTGGATAGCTTATTTCACTGAAAATGAGTTTGTGGGTTCGATGATAGGATGTTGCAGGCAATATACAAGGTTTTTCCTCTAGTAAAAATGGAGTTTTAATCAAGTAGAGTTTTAATCAAAATCTGTCGTGTGGTTGTCGAGGGATATGAAAGTCGCCAGTATCGCCGCAGGCAGAGGGTTGTTTCATGTGCTCATCGAAATGTTTATAAAAATACAAAAAGGTCATATTTTACATATTGACGTCATCAATATAGATATGCGTTCGAAACTTCAGTTTAGAACTTTCATGTTAAAAAATTATTTTCTATCGTGTATAAAGAAAATAATGTTTGTGGAAGTGTGTAAGTAAAGTGTTAAATAAGTTCCACGAACAAAATCCGTTTTGTTTTTACTTTAAGAAGTGATTTGTGAGTTCAATAAGCTTTATTTAGTCCTAAATGGCTTAGCTTTGTTTACAGATTGTTTTCAGTTAAATTTAGTAACAGATACGGCCTGGAGTATAGTTGCTAATTTAATTTAACAACGTTCGCTTTAGCAATTTTAAACTCAAACGAGATTTGCTCTTAAATTTCTTGCAAAATAGTGCATATACTTTGTTTAAAAAATTAAATCGTTTGGTTAAATATCGTTATATTAAACTGATGAGTTACCCTTTGAAACATTTAGTAAATAAAATTAAATTTGTAAATTATTAATGAAATAGAAAATGCAAGTCGATGGTATTGTACTGAAGTATTCTTACCGGTATAAGAGTAAGCCAAGTCTTGTACCGCTTGAGTCCATTATGGTTTCTTTGTTTAGCACAAAGTGCCTACAGAGAACATATCAATAGAGGGGTGGAAGGCGATTAATCAAATTCACCCCTACGATCTTTCTTTTTTCTTGAAGAAGCAGAGGGTACGAAACGGTTAAGGTCTCTGTATTAATTTCAATACACGGTCTGGTGAACCCGTAACCATATATTAGTCTCTTCTCTAAGCAAAAATCTTTCTGAAATGATGGTGGTTGGAAGTCACAACGGTCACAACTAGCGTTCCTATCCAGAACTTGCTCTTGAAGAAGAGGGTAAGAATTTATAGGAAAGGGTACCTACCAAGGTATGAATGTACTTCTCATATTTATCGAACATATTTTTTTTTGGAATTTCTTACACGTGCTTTAACATCCATATTGACAGGGTCAGTAGTATACTGAAGAAAAAAGAAACCTAGTTAAAGGCAATAGTAATTGGCGAGCTCGTCTGAAAGGTTTGATGAAGGTGGCAGAGCCGCGAGCTACAGGTCTTAATCGTGTTAAACACCGTTCTATAATTTCTGGTTACTTCGGATGGGAATAAGATGTGAGTTCATATGTACATACTTTTTCTGAATAGACACTGAGTATAGACTTTTTAACATTAACATTAACTCCCTGATTGATAACCTGATCTTTTTGCGCATTAATATAAAACAATAGCTGTACTTTTCCGGTATTGAGATGTTAATAATAAATATATATAATAGAGCGATTGACCAATAAAGGGAAATGAAATAGCCCTTGATATTTTATCGGGTTCTTAAATATATGTTGGTGGGTAAATAGTATTATTTCCCTATAAATTGTGGGCTTATTACGATAAGTGATATTTATGGGTTTATTAAATTCTGCAAATGAAGTTTCGTTCATGGATCGAGTAAGCAACTTTAGGTAATTAGTGATTTATTTATTGTTTTTTGTTAATAATAACTTGTGTTTTATCAAAAAAAGTGTTTTATTCAATTTTATCAGTTTATTATAAATTTAATCGTGTATAGTGCACACGACTAGACTTATAATATATCCAGCGATCCACCCCGGCTTAGCACGGGTGCAATGTAGATACTACTAATACTACCAATGTGTTGTCAGTAAGGAGTAATTAATTCATCATCATCATCAACAGCCTTTAATAGTCCACTGCTGGAAATAGGCCTCTCCTTAGAAAGGAGCTTTGAGGGATTGATACAGGGTTTGTGCCAAGTTTTCCTTCTCTCTGCAGTGTTGTTGTCCTGCGTAGTTTGATGCCTTATTCACCTCTTACAACATCCACGGCGTGAATGATGACACTCTGTATTTTTAATCCGTCACCACACGGATAATTAATTATACTATTATTATGATAGGACTATACTACTGGACATCTTTAAGGGCAATATTTGTATGCTCGATCAGGTCCTACCGTACGGCTCGACGGTTGTTGGGCCCCTTTTTTTTTTTTTTTTTTTTTTTTTTCCGTGCGGAAATCCCCTCGGATACCACCTGTCGGTGGCATGTCGGACACGAACCGACTAAAACCGCACGCCTTCGCCGGGTACTAATAGCCGGGGAACCAGGTATACCCTAGAAAGGAAGGCCCTGGTGCCCCGACATACCTCGGGTCATCTACAGACGAGTAGACGACCCCCGCCCCGTGTGGGAACCCCATGTTCCCTGTGCTCCCTGAAAGCGAGCGCGCTTCGCAACGCGCTCGCCGCCACCCCGGCCTGCTTCTGCTAGGGTGACAGATGGCCTCACCTGTCACCCCCAGGCCTGCGCTTATGGAGGACGGAGGTCGTTCTGCGACCTCCGGCGCCTGAGTCGCCTGCGCTGCCTGGCCCGTGCCCGGGCCTGGCGGGCCGGGAGAGTTCTAAACCTCTCCCGGTCCCGCTCCGCCGTCTCCTTCGCGAGCATAACTTGCTCGCAGAAGGAGACGGCAGAGTTCCACGCACTCTCGCTCCGCACGATAGCCGCAATCAGGCTATCGAGCGAGAGAACTCCCACTCCGATGGCCGCCACGAGGTCTCGCCTCTGCTCAACCCACGCCGGGCACTCTGCCAGCGTGTGGAGAGCCGTGTCCACGGTCTGGCCATCGCAGTGGTGGCACTCAGGCGTTGGCTCCTTGCGGATCAGACACAGGTGATCTCCGAAACATCCCTTCCCAGTGATCACCTGCGTCAATCGGTATGAGAGGGTCCCCGTGACGCCTCTCGAGCCAATCCTCCATAACGGGTCTTACCGCCGCAATGACGGCGTGCCCGGCGCTCGGTTGCCCGAGTCGTTCCCTCCACTCCCCTATGATGACCTGGCGGAGTTGGGATTTCCGGTCAGTCGATTTCTCGAATCTCGGGGCATCGACCCAACTCCTGCGCCTCCTTGCGCCACTGATACAGTGCTGCAAGGGCTCTCGCCTCCAGGTCCCACGGTGGAGTTCCGGCCAGGAGACTCGCCGCCTCAAAGGAGATCGTGCGGTACCCCCTTATGATCCTGATGGCCAGCATTCGCTGCGGTCGCCGCAGTATCGCGACGTTGCTGGCCTTCAGGGCCCCCGCCCATACTGGGCACCCGTAAAGGGCCATGGACCGCACAACCCCCGAGTAGAGTCTCCGGCAGGAGTCATCGGGTCCCTTCATGTTGGGCAGCAGCCGCGCCAACGCACGCGCTGCCCCAACCAACTTGGGGACCAGACCTCGGAAATGATATCCGAAGTCCCATCGGCCATCGAGTACGAGCCCCAGATACTTGATCGAGGGCTCGATGCCGATGCGAGTGCCTCCTACCGTGAGGCTAGATCCCTCAGGCGGCTTCCTCCGAAGCCCGTGGAAGAACAGGGCCTCGGACTTGTGCAGAGCCACCTCGAGACCCAGCCGCCGGA